GTGTGTATGACTGCACCTTTCACACCTGCCTAAGGCCAGCTCTAATTCTACATTACCATTCTCTAACTTCTTAAATAGATTTAGCTCACATATTACACCTGTGTATATTAATTAAATAGACTAACCAAAATGGTTGTATTGCCATTTACTTTCTAGAAGTTAATATTATGTCAACATAAAGGTTACTCAATACATATGATGGGCGGAGAAACATCACTGCAGTTGTATTTTTGTTCTAGAGTAACACACTCATTAAAAACTTAACTGACTATCTTAATATTTTTATAAATTATACTGTATCCTCACGTTCATACAAACTAACATACAGTATGTTAACAGGATGGAACTAAATAAATTGAAAAATAATAACATAATGTGCATATACTGCAACTACAAAAAGATATTTTGTATTGTATTTGTTTACCAAACAACACACGCACAAGTAGATTCTTGCCATGGGAAACTCAATTTACAGATTCCTTTTTTTGCCGACTGTACAATCTAGCATCTGAAGGGACTAAGGCTGAACTATAGAGACTGTACTGCAGGTTTAAACAAAATTAAAAAGAAAAAAATATTAATTTTATAAATCTACAAGACCCTTCATTAAGGACCTCTATCAAAGCTTCCATATTTTCCTCACTATCTGTCTTTATAATAGCTTTCAATCCCTTGTAGTTCCACTACTGTATGACAAAATGTCATTATGGAGAATTTTAATACAAAATAAGATGTTGAAGAATATTATAGAATCCGCTTTTGTTTGTTGGCAGACATAGACGAGTGTTCGGATCAGCCGGGTCTTTGTGACCACAACTGCCTCAACACATGGGGTTCGTTCCGCTGTAGTTGTCGACCCGGCTTCACTCTATCTACAGACAACAGGTACTATCTCTGTTCTAAAACAGAATTTTGAAGTACATTTACAAAGTTATTTATAAACATAACTTAATTATATCTCAATTTGTTTTAAAATGGCGGCCAATTTTGCGAATTGTTCGTGTATTGACTTATAATTAAACCCCTTTAATTTTGAAACCGCTAAAAATTTGTCCATTCTGATTGAAAATTCGTAACCCTGGTAATCTGTAAATAAAAAAATCAAATAACAACATATGTCAAATAGCATATAATTTTAATTGTCTTGTTAAGATAAACAATTTTCCAATTTAGACCTACTGTCTATTTCTTTTAGTATTTAAATAATAAACCAAAAACTAAATTTTCCCATATAAAATGCATGCTACTTCCAAAAGCCTAAAACAAAAACAAAACTGTATTGTTTGGTAATGCAGTTTTTTTTTTAATGGCCGCCATTTTAAAACAAATTGGGATAATTGAGGTTTGTTTTCACCATAATGTTTTTCTAAGCAAGACCTATCTAAAAATGTACGATGTTATAGGTTGACATAGGGAAATTTCGAGATTCGAACCCCGTTGACCTTCATTTCTGGAACACCCTGTGCTTGGATCATGTTCTAAGTATTTTAAATAGATTCATCATATGGACTTTAAGGGGGAATAATTATATTTCACGTTTCTAGGTGAAAACATACTCCCGTAAAAGTAAGTATACACGGCCAGCTTCATCCTGTATAATCAGTTGTCTTAACTTATTTTAGATGGTATAATCAGGTGGTATGTAGTATGGTCATATCTACAACAACAATCTGCACCAAACAATCAACTCTCATTCGGCATCATGACATTATACTCTATGTTACAGGACGTGTGTGGATATAAACGAATGTGAGGTGTTTAAGGATCGGAGATTATGTATCGGCTACTGTGTCAACCAACCAGGATCATACTCCTGTCAATGCCCCCAGGGGTACCGTCTAGGCTTAGATGGAGCTTCGTGCCAAGGTATATCGGCAAAATACATTAATCTTACACATTGTAGGGATTTCAGTGGAAACACCTCAAATAAAGAAACTGTTTTTATTTGCTTCAAACTATTTTTCTAAATATCTGAATGTTCTAGTTTTCAAAACAAAACACCTTCAATGATGGTATCACACTATACCCATTAATCAGCTCTATCCAGAACATACAAATCTGGCCATGACGGATTAAGTATTCTAAGAACCAACTTTGATGAAAGTTTAATAGGAAGAATCGAGTAAAGTAACTGATACACTGTACTTTCAAATAGGGTCATTTTTTGCCTAACACTAATCTTAATTGAATCCCTAGTGTTCTTCTACCTTATTGCGGTGAAAACCTCTAATTAATGGCAAACGTTATTGTAATTGGAATAAAAAATAATAAATCACAGAAATATATTCACATAATTTATTAATTAAAACAAATTATATTCTTAATTTGTTGTGAAAGAAAAATTGTTTTCTTAAAAGCATGTTCATTTCTTTTCACGAAAAAGAAACTGATTTTTCAAGCTCCTTTAATTTCAAAACGTTTAATTAATCAACCATATTAAAAAAAGGAAGTAAAATTGTTTCAAAACCAATTAATCACTTACATGAAACACAATCTTAAATACATTTGTATTTGAGAATATCAATGGTTGACTCATATACGTGTTTTCACAGATATTGATGAATGCAGTGGAAGCAACCATTGCACTAACCGCAATGAAATTTGCTTAAACATGCGAGGAACTTATAGATGTGTGTCGACTGCCTGTCCTACGGAGTACATCAAAGATACACAGCATAAAAAGTAAGTTGTGTAGGACCAGAAATGTATCACTTAATCATTTTACAAAGACAGTGCTGTGCGTTTTGCATGTATTGAGAGTTGAATTTGTATGCAGGAGTGAGGGATAGAGTGGATAATTTGTGTAATTTTTTTTATCACAAAGATCAGCTGTTTTGCCAATATTTAGTTTAGCCATTATGATCAAGTATAGCTGGGTCCAGTTTCGAACCAAAAAGCTGTTATCTTTTCTCAGGATTGAACTTACGACCTTCTGATTGTAAAGCAAGCACTTAAACCACTCAACTACCGAGAGCTAAATTATATTTTATTCAAACAGATCTAGATAAATTGGTTTTAAAGGGCATTATTGAAACTATATTTCTTAATAGTTCCCAGCAAAATCCAGGCAGTCTGGCACTTACATCTATGAAAAACGTTTAAAATAAAACTGGAAGAAATAGTTGCTTGTGAGAAACATGCGCTGTCAAGGAAGTGAGATTAACTTCAAATAATTTAAATGAAAACATAATGTAAATATTGAGAAAAGATGTACTTTTGTGCTCCTTCATAGACCTAAATCCAAATTAGTAAGCCATTAAAGCACTGTTTCACATGTGTTATCTAGACCAATAAATTCTCCAGGAAAACCAGGAAGCCAGCTCCAGCTCTTATTGCCTATAAGATCCTTAGCTATGTCAGCTGCCACCCACAATAAAAAAAAAATATGTAACAGAACATTTCTGTTGATTTTAGTCGATGCAAAAGAATAACAATGTCGTGTCGGGATGGAGACACAGAATGTTTAGAGAAACCTCTGACTTACACATTTCACTTCATCACTCTGGTATCGAACCTGACAACCAGGGCGGAAGGACCTTTGGACCTCTTCATGATGCGAGGTCCAGTGTGGTCCTCTACGAATGTAGCCTTTGATCTTCAACTAGATAAGGTAAGGTGTCAATGGTGTTTTGAAATTTAAATTCAGTTCAAAAATTAAATACAAGTTTATATTGTTAACTCAGCAATTTGTTAGTATTACTCAATATTTACCTTGATGATTGCCTGAGTTCTTGATTGGAGGTTAAACAACATACTAACTATCAATACCTACAATCAAGTACTCAGGTGATCATCAACGTAAATATTGAGTAATATTGTTCTTAAATCTTGGCCCACAAAAATGTGTTTACTTTACATTTGGTAAAAATAGGTCGTAGGATGTTTCATTTACCTGTTAGTGTGATTTAAAATCTTATGAGAGAATCTTATGAAACTAAAGAACTTTTAATGAAATTATCTTTTTAAGTCTCTTTTTATCCTTGTATTAGTATCAAAGTACATCGGTTTTTAAAATTGGCAACAGGATTGCATTTATCAAAATCATTATTGTTTTAACAGAATGCAATTACAATTGGTCAATAGGATAAATTTTTATCCACCCAACCGATTGCTTAAATGATTATAGTATGTTACTGCTGCTACTAAGGTTATTAAAAGTACATTTTACCAGTCAACATTAGATGAAACATGGAGAGAAAATTTTCAGTTTCAGAAACAAGCCAATAGTGTTCCATTTAAACTTTGATGTATTTTTTTATTATTTTCAAAAGGAAATAAACACATTTGATTTCATTCAAACCCTCAAAGTTCTACTACTCTTAAGTTATCAGTTGGTATATACTTGTCTCTGTTCAGGTACACGCACCACCATCTGTACCAGTCGCAACATTGGAAGATTTCCAGCTGGTGTCATCCGATCACAACATCGCTAACATTCGATTGCTCAAACCCCTCATGGGGCCTCAAGATATATTTCTTCAACTCATCATGAAGTTTTATTACAACGGAATATATGGTGGAACTACAATATCCAACATATCAATATTTGTCTCACAGTATGAATTTTAGCAGTATAAAATGTATAGAATAAACATATTTCTCATTTGTAAACTTTATCCTTGTATTGTATGTTTTAATGAAAATCATACCATAACATCACACAAAGAAAAGATTTTATGGCAACATGTGTTATTGCTCAATTAGCAAATTTATGTGCCTACCAGTATATTTTAAAGAATGTTAAAGTAAAAATATTTTCAATCAATCTAATTTGAATTCATATTTCATTGTAGAAAGCATTTTTAAAATAAAGTCTATTTACTTAATAATATGTGAACATTCCATAATTGATTCAACAAGACATTTATTTTTACTCAAAATACTCATATTTTTAACAAATCTCATTTGCCTTACTTTATGACATTATTATTTTCTATTTGATACCTCGTGTGAAATTAAGCTAAAACAGTTCTATAAACGGGATGAAGAAATAAACAAAATACATTATACAACTTAACTGATTTATTTTTTACATATATTTGATAAAAAACAAGAGAGAAGTAAAAGAAGAGTTAAGAGAAATAAATACATTTACAGAAATAATACTGTTACAGTATCAGTTTGGAGAAAACATATTGTTTTAAGGTTTAAAATAAATTTTTGTACCAACCTTTAGATTCCGTTAATGTCTAGTCCTGGAACAAGAAAAATTAACTTTTAATAATAACAATACCTTTTCAAATACACTAACTTAGCAGCTAAAAGTAGGAAATGACGGCAAATGTCATCATTGTTTATTATGCTATTGGTAACAATTAAAGTGCAAAACAGTCTTACTATTCAAATTCAATATGTCCAGAGCTTGGTGTATGAATGGTTTATGAGTCAAACTAATAAATAAATATCAAAAATATATCTTTCAAATGATTTGAGACTGTTAAATTAAGTTTCAAATTGAACTGAAAGAATTACTACGAGCTGACAAATAAAATAATAACGTAAAACCAAGGGCGGTTTGGAGAAGAAAACTTCCTCGCCTTGAAGAAGGTTACAGAAAGACGAGAGAGCGTTGCGGGCGTAGCTCGTCTGAAAAATACAATGTTGTCTTAAATAACAACAAGATGGCGGCTGTTGCACTCTCAAGCAGTTAGCGCCTCATTCCATGCTTGCACAATTAGGGCAAACACAACCACAGGTCACCGGTTTGTGGGGATCAAGCATTACGGTTTAGTACTCTCACCAATGGTTACAAAAAACCAAACCATATCACATCTAAACTATTACACAAAATGTTGTTTGAGTTTCAGATAAAACTTAATTTTAAAATGTTACACTCTGCTATGAGAAAGATAAAAAACACTGGAATACTACTGAAGTAACTAGCTCTAACGATTAGTTTAGAATAGTCAAGAGATTGTACAGGTACAAAGGAATCTGCTTAAAAAGAAAATGTTGTTTAATGTTTACTAGCTTGTTTTCTGTTACTGTTTCATTTTTATTCAACTACTATTGTTTTGCAGAATAGTTGACAGACTTATTGCAGTACATTGTCTACCAATTTATCATTATGGGAAATAAACTAATTAATGTGGAATGCTTGGTCATAGCCTATTATCCCAAATTATGTGGCTTCATGCAAAATTCAAGTACAAATCATGGATTTTTCCTGATCTTGCAAATTCATATTCAATTCCCAGCAGGCTGGACATTCCGATTAGTATTTTAGAACACAAATCTTTGTTGTTAATTTGAAAACAGTAACATCTTTTCCAATGCTAGGTTGGGATCGGTGGGATTATATTAGTGTGGCTCTGGCATACACAGCATGTATAATTACAACATAATATTGTTAACCAAACAAGTAGATCTAATGAAAAATGCGGTTGCAGTTTTAAATAAACTCTTTTAAAGCAAATAAAAAAATAAAAACCCTGTTTAATTTTATGTTTGACATTACTGTACTATTTTTGTTGGCAAGAACATTATACACGTAATGTTAGTTTAGGTAAGATTTAAATCTATTTTAAGTGATGGACTTAACTTTTTCAGGGAATGAAAATTCAGTTTCAATTGAAATAGTGTACTAAATTAATAAATGTGTTTTGGAAAAAAGTGTTACTAATACTGTTCATCAAGCAACTTTCATCGCCAAATTCCCATGTTCTTTAACTAATTACAGTTGTACAGTAAAAGCAAAGGTGTGAATAAAAATATGTATGTATACAATTTATAATTTGCAGTTTTTTTATACAAGTGAAGTGTTGGCAACCCTGACAAAAGTTTACAAAATTAAAACAGTGCTAGAACTGTAACTGCCATTCTACCTCTGAAGAAGGGGCGAAATATAAGTTTAAATGTGTTTCTATTTTGTATACTCTTAACTTCACAGTATAAGAAATACTGTCTTATCAATATACAATTATTTCTAGAGAGAGTATTTAGTTGATCATATCATGTTAAATAGTTATGAAGGATAGCATGTATTGAATGCAGTTTAATTTGGAATAACAGTTAGTTTCATTTTAAGTACTACAATAAACAACCTTTGTAAAAAGATTCTCCACTAGGAAGTTAAGATCCAACAAGTTTTCATAGACTAACATAGCATTCTTTCCTTCTCCACACCAATAGGGAAAATTGTAAACAAAACCTTATAATTTTCCAGTGTTGGCAAAATTATTTTTAACCTCTAATTTAATAAAGCCTTAAACATATTAACTTGACTTTTAATGAAACTAGTATTTGTGAGAACTATAATCTGTATGAAATATTATTGTACTTCAAATATTTTTTTGAATAGATATGAGTGCTAGAAAGATAATTGCAATGCTGAAAAGAAAGTATATTAATAAATAACACAATTATTAAGAAATTAAATAAACACTGACAAAATTAAATAATAACAGATGTTTTGAAAAAGAAGATTTTATTGGATATTGAAGATAAAAAACAAAACGAGATTCCACATTGTTTTATATTATCTTAAACAAAAGTTCATTAGGTATTTTATAACATTAAGCTTGAAACCCCTATATTAAAAGAGGGTTTTTACAAATAGTAAAGTGTCAACAAAACAAAAACATAGTCAAACGTTCTAAGGATGAGAATCAAATTTTAACAAAAATGTAACATTGAAATAATAAAATCAAGACTTCTAGGCATTCCTAAACTCTCTTATTTATATTTGTAATAAAACAGAGTGTCTTCATTAAGTTGACTGGACAAAATCTGAAAAAGGATAGAAAGAGGTAGAAAGAGGAGAAAAGGAGAGGAATTAACAAAGTCAAAAGTAAACAAACAGAACAAACAAGTTGAAACAAAAAGTAAAGCAAAGCTTGCAAGCGTGCACAAACAATCTCTATTCTAATTCTAAATTTGCTTAAGTAAAAAAAAAAATAATAACTAATTAAACTGCATAAAACTAATAATATAATTCCATAATTTTGCAAAACCAAAACACAAAATAAAACATGTCTTGGATCACCAGAATTGTGGTTTGGTAATTTAAATTTGTATTTCTCTTATTTGTACACCTTAAAAAATATATTTAAAATTCTGAGACATGTCTTAAGTTGACCTTGACCCAAAAATGTCTAGAAATAAATAATAAACATAAAGAGTGTATTATTACCCTCAAATAGTTTTTTTTCTCAAATTATTTATGATGGATAAATATGCATATCATTAAATGTGTTAAATAATTTCTCTTTTAAAATTTTGTTGACTTGTTCATAATTTGTTTGATAAAATCAATTTTCAAATATATGAAAACGATTTGGTAATCAATAAATGATTTGTAACATGTGAAAATCACTTGGATGGACTTAATATAAAACTATCTAACAAAAAATAATTGCTACTCACCACTTCATTGACTTTGTCGCTTCAAGGATATGTTTGATGATGTTCTGAACTACATCTGTGCTTGTAGCGGTGCCTCCAAGGTCTAAAAAGTAACAAATTTAATGTATTACTTATACATAAAAAGTTATCAGTTTTTAAACCAAAATGGTAATGGTAAAAAATGTACTAGGTTTCAGTCCAAGATGACTGAGATTGGTTTACAATATAATATTGGAAGAATTATCACATTAGCAACTATGGAAAAAAATACCTACACAACATATAAATCGTACTGATGGAATCAGGTTTCAGATCCCGGAATGTCGTAAAAACTTGTTCTTGTTATTTATGGAAATGTCCACCATAATTCCTCAAACCCCAGTGACTAGAGGTTAGTGCCTGCCATGGTGTATTTACCTACAAGTTCACCTGGTTTCTAGTTTCTATATTGTTAAACTAGAAGGACAGAAGTTACAATGGATTCACAGTTAGTTGTAGCAATCCTCAACATTTAACTGAATATTTCAGATAGGGTTCTTAAAGACCAGTTTTTTTCTGATATGATTTTAATAGTATTGAAATTTTTAGGAATAATTCCGCCATCAAACATTTAGAGAAATCTGAATCAGCCTATATAGTGAAGATCAAAACCAGAAATTTCTAATCTCGAAACCAAAACCGAAACTTAAAAAAATCGAATCTCGAATCTCAAAACCTGAGCGAGACACTTTTACCTGGTCAAGGTTGCTAAAAAATAAAAATACGGGTAATGATAACATTTTCATTATGATTATGCCATCAAAACTGAAAGAGATTGACTCCTGATCAAGACATAATAACATAAATGTGACTTCAAACCCAAAAATTTTTTTTTTTTTACAACTAACATTAATATAAATGAAACTCTTGATATTGAAATAAACATGAATATTACATTAATTAGAACATTTAGTGGTCAATATTTCTTTGTGTTTAATAAATATTGGATATCGATATGAAACTGAATTGTAAATTGTTCCAGTATTTAAGATGCCTTTTGCAGTTCAGAACACAATTTACTTGTTTTATTAGTGTTAATGGAAATGTATTTGCTCCATTGCTACCAGCTTGTGTGTAAACAATGTTATAAACAATAATAATGACACAAAAATGACATAATTTTCAAAATTATAAGTGCCAAAACTTCCTATTTAGAAACTTTTGAATCTCGCAACTCGCCTATCGAATCTCGAAACCGAAACTTTTCCAAAGTTTTGAATGGTTTTGAGATTTGAGATTCGGTTCGATCACTAAACCTATCCCAGTTTTAGGTTCTTATAAAATCTTGAATATCCCCACACAGTCATGATGACATCATTATTATATCCTGCAATTGCGGCAAAAATATTGCATGGATACTGATATAACAAAACTTAAATTTTTCATAAATTGCGTTTTTTTTACTAAACCCAGTAAAACTAACTATAGTCTTTAAAAATCGGCCCATCTTTAGATAAAAATATTCACTGCTCAATCCAAGTTTGTTCACAGTTGAAAAATCCACAGCTCTCAAACAGTTTACATATTTACAGCTGAGTGGATACCCTATACAGTGTATATTGCAAAGCACTGGTTAAAAGTGACTAGTTAAACAATAAAACAGCTGATACAAGTGTTTACAGACCTGGTGTGTGAATCTTGTCTACGTTGACAGTTTGGTTGATGGCCGCAGATAGAAGGTTTGCATGTGTCTGATGGCCCAGATGCTCCAACATATCTACTGCAGCATTCAACATGGCGATCGGGTTGGCAATGTTCTTACCAGCAATCGCAGTACCAGTGTTCCTGGTACCAGGCTCGAATATGGCATACTGAAAATTATTGAAACAAAATTCACTTTAAAAAATAATGACAGTGAGAAAGAGTTGTGAACAGCAGAATATCTGTTATCTGGGGTCACATCAAATGAGGGTTGTCCGTAAAGGTGAGTATCCAACGAGCTCCAGTCGCAGCCAAGTGAGTAGGTTTAATCTGACACCAAGCCGTGTTCTTTAATTACCTTGCTAATATTCTACCCCTATGTGGATGATTTTCTTTGGTGCAGATGTAACAGGCTAAAATAATGGTACAATTTTTTTTTGTACCAGAGAGAGTCTGCTCTCTTTACAGGCTAGCATGGCATCGCAGCAAACGATTACTCGAGTGACCCAGGAGGACCTGCTGTGCCTCCAGGAGGGGAGGATGCTGACTGGGACAGTCCTAGAGGCATATCTTCAGACATTGGCAGAAAAGGACGGTCTTGCCCTAAACATCGGTGTCTTGAGTCCTTATTTCTTTGAACACCTTGAAGAAAACCGGCAGACGAAGGCGTACAGAGAGTTCAGGGACGCGGATATCTTTGGGAAGGACCTGATCTTAGCATCACTGCACCTAAGAGATAGTCAACACTGGGCGCTAGTCGCTGCCTATCCCAAGAAAAGAAGAGTCGAAGCATATGACTCAATGGGTTGGTCCCAAAAGAAGCAGATATACCTGATGTACTATGCGCTCCGATTGGAGGCGAAGATTTCTGGTTACGATTTTAGACCAGAAGCATGGTATTTACAAGACACCATGCTAAACCAACCCCACCAGTCGAACGGCGTAGACTGTGGTGTGTTTGTGTTCCACTTTGCCAAAACCCTGACTCAAAGCGGAGATGTCTCACAGAGTAGATTTAGTCCGAAGTACTTCAGAGATGCCATACGCAAGGCTTTGGAAAGTCGGGTGGAGGAAAACGTTGCTCTCTCCTCTCGGCAGTGACGAGGGAATCATTGAAGTTGGGGTCCCCGCCGTCCCTGAGGCAGTGGAACAGGACAAGACGACAGAAGACGTGGCCCCGGAAGTGGAGCTACTAGATTTAGAGCTGATCTCCCTAGAAGTTGTGGCATCTACCACCTTAATGCCGGTCGACGACCTGCTGCACCTCATCGAGGACGCTACTAGGGAAATATCTACGACAGCAGAGACTGTGGAACCACCGTCACCATGCATCTCAATAGCCGCCAGCATGGACCTTGCCAGCCTCGGGGTGGAGAGCACTATTATTCCCCAACAAATTGAGGAAACGAATGGAAAGGGTACACCAGAGGAACCCAAGGTGACTGAGCCAGCTGCAGCATTTGGAACAGGGTTGTTCTACGAATGTAGTTCGACGACAGAAGAGGGGCCAGGGGCGGAAGAGCCCGTCCAACAATACCCTAGCTCAAAGGGAAATGAACCTAGTAGCGTGAGACAGCCAAAGTTCAATGCGTCCACCCAAACATTTTGATGGCATCAGCACATCCAATCGCCGGAAACCACCTTCCCCATACCCAGAAGAAGCAGGCATCACAGGGGAAGAGGCGGCGCTGGAGGAACCCGCAGAATCGTCTTTCCTGGGAGAATTGTCAAACGAGTCTCAAGCCGATTCTTAAACCCATGGAACTGGTTTTAATTAAATAAGTGATCCGATCTAGTCCTAGTCCCGGTGAAAAGGACATCATTTGAAATTTAAGTAGATTTTGTTTTAGAAGATTGTTTTATGAAATTGTATCATGAAGTTCCTAAAGCAAGTTCCTAGATAGGACTAGTTAATTTTTTTTTACTTTATAAGGAAAATCTAAAAAAAAAAACCACACAAAGAACAAAAGACAAAAATATATATGGAAGATTATTGTTTTATTTTATGAAGAATATACATTTTTTTTCTTTTTACATGTTTTCTTTTTTTTTCTGCCCCGAAGTAAAGGGGGGATGTAACGGGCTAAAATAGTAGTACAATTGTTTTTGGATTAAATATCAACAATATCTTGCGTTTCCTGTGCTTTCGCTTGCCTGTCACGATGGTCTCGCTACTCAGAGAGTCCGAGACGACTCTAGGACTTCACTTCCGAACACGATACCGACCCGACTAGTCGATCTTCAACTTCAAATAGATACCGCGAAGTTACGACCCACTCCTTGTCAACGACCTTTTTGCGGTTCCTTGATTGCTTCCACATCATTCCTTGATTAGGGGCGATGATGAGAGTTCAGCAGCAAGGACATAAAGGAATCTCAAGAGCGATTGAGTGATTTTAAAGCTGCACTACTGAGCCCATTCAAAAAAAAACTCCAAACCTATTACGAAGTTTACAAAAAACCGATCCTGGATTCACCCCCTTCTAGCGATTGAACTATCTGTGCTTTGAAATTATTTGACAGGACAAACAAAACGACACTGACCCGAAAACACTGTCACACAGTAGCCAATGACAATGAAAGGGAAAATAAACACTATCACCACAGATATTCTATTTGTGATAAGGTTTCTTTCAAACTGAAACTTTATTGAGATTGGTTTCCAGTTAGCGAGTTTAGATGATTTATTAAATAAATTTTTAGAGTTTTAAATGATTGTGCAACTATCTTTATTGCCTGGGACAATTCCATCTATTAGGAAAGGTATGACATGTGTTTACCAACTTATTCCTGCTTTTAAAAATATTAAGAAAACAATTTGTCTAATAACACTTAGTTATTAGTGTGATCAGAAGTATTTTAATTTACTTTCCAGAAAATGTAATAATTACTGACTACAGCACAATATAATTCTCAACTCACATGGTCTCCGTAGTTCTTGCCCGAGAGAAGTCCTGCACCTCCGACCAAACCACAGATGACATTGGACACGATAGTTCCGTACAAGTTGGTCATCAGCATCACATCAAACTGGTGTGGGTTGGACACTAGCTGCATGCAACAGTTGTCAATGATCATGTCTCCAGTCTCTATATCTGGGTACTCCTTGCCAACGTTGCGTGCGATCTCCAAGAAAAGGCCATCGGAGAGTTTCCTGCAATGGAGTTGTAGAAAACATTTTAATGAGAGCAATAATTGACAACCAAAGTCACAACATCCTGATTTTGAGTATGTCAGTGCAGACCACAGTGAGAAGCAAAAAACCATCATGAAGAGGATTTCAAGGTTTACTTGGGATCCAGGATATGATGGGAAATGTCATCGTGTGAGCTCAGAATGAGAGTATAGAACAAGCTCAGTTCGTGTAGCTGTTTTGCAAACCATGTGATGAATGAGTACCTGCTTGCTAAATCTGTTAAGACTCAAATAATTTTTGGAATTAATAAAAAAACTATGTTGCTAAGTTTTATGATAGTCCAAAACTTTTAAGTAATCTAGTCCTACTTAAAGTAAACCCTAATAAGAATTCATTTAAGCTATAATATTGGTAAGATTATATAGAACTAAGCTTTAAAAAAAAAAAAAAATTAACCCTAATTATTAAAATTTAACTCCCTCAGACACATTGACAAAACCAAGAAGAAATACCAAGGAAGACCATATTCTTGGCTTACCAAGAAGAAATATTTTAAATTTAATTTGCTTCCTTAGTATTCATAAATGTAAATGAAATTTCACAAATAAAAAAATCTAAGACATGTATCTTGACACCCGATCTAGACAATCCCTAATTTGAAGAAAATGGGGAGCGAGCTGGTCTTGTGTTAGAGCGCAGGACTTTATTCCTTGGGGCCCCGGTTTCAAATCCAGCCAATCACCAATAGATTTTATCTAAGTGGTGATGCCGCAACCTCTAGGCCTAGCCTGAAGTAATGTTAAAGCAATCCCAGGCTAGAGCCTCATAAAAATAATCCTAATATTTATTTGTCGCACCAAGTCAAAACTTGAGCAGTTATGGGTCTATTTAAAAATCAAGCACAAAACAGCCAATAATACTGGTATTCCTATTGTAAAAATAGTAAATTGTTTTTCTATAAAACATGAACAAATTTAAACTGTCATAAATTAAAATATGAGAAAATTGTTGGAGGGATAATATTTTGGTACTGCAGGATAAGATTACGCTAAATAGGTGAATTGAATAATTATGTTGAAGACAAAGAGGAATTAAAATTAAAACTTTCAGTTAAATCAAAACCGTCCACAACTTACCTGAAACTTTACAATGCTTAGGGTAAGTAAAATAAACTAAAAAAATTGTAAAACAAATAGAAATCTAACACAAGTTATTAAAAGAAAACAATAGATACCAAAAAACTAGAACTTATTATTTGAAGGTAATTCGTGCTGTATTGAAATTAAATTTTGATAAAATACTATAAAACTAGGGATGGATCAAACAAAACAAATGACAAAAACAGACAAATTCTAATCATTACTTGTAATATCTACAAAATAAGTCAGCATTGAAACTGAATCCACACAACATTAACTTACCTAGAAACCTGGAGTACCTTTGTGTCTGAGTAAAATAGTTTGAATTCATTATAAGAATCTTTTAGCTTTTGATCAAATTTTGAAGATTTTATAAAAAATAACCGTTGACCATGAATTAAATACCTTTGTACTTTCAAAGTTTATAATCGTACTCATCCATGTCATTTTATATGATTTTCAAAGTCACGATTTTTAAATTTTAAAAAGTTTTTTTAATCAAGGTTAAATCTGTGTTATAGATGGCCAGATATACAAGGGCTGACAGTAAATTAAGATCTCCATAACGTACTTATCGCAGCCAAGTGAACTAGTTAATATCTGAGATCAGCTTCGTGTTCTTTACTTCATCCATTAATATTTTAGCTGATTTTCATCCCTATGTGACAATAAGTCTCATCAGCTTGGGTGAAAACGATGTGAGGAAAAATCTGTGTTCCCGCCAAGTTTGAATCATGTTCTATAATAAGGTTGTGACCTGTTGCAATTTTACTGATATGTATTCAGATATTTTTCATGTTGAGAAGTGGGAAATGTTCATAAGTGGGTTAGGAGGTTTGCACAAGCCCGTATATATTTGCACAATGAGGGTGTTTATCGGTTTCCATCAAGACAAAAGTTGAGCAAACATTGCTTGCGTATCTGCATGTTCAAGTCTACCAGGTTTTACCGTAGTCCGTAGGATATTTTTATAGAGGCGTTCCCTCAGTTTAGCAATCTCTCTTTCAGTAAAACTGTGATGCGAATGAAAAATTCCCCTTCAGTCGCTGCCTTAAATGAAACTGTTAAACAACAACAGTCAGTACCATGCAAAACATCATAAACACCGTGCAAATGTTTTCAACCACTTCCAAACCCTATCCACCGATTCCTTACGCACATTTCTTATGTCCAAACACACACATATTTATCATTCACGTCTGCCAACGTGTGATGGACTTCAAAGCAGTTGAAACCTAGGCCACAGAGGTCTAATCACAGAACACAACCCATACTTGGCGGGGACTTCGATTTTCCTTCATATGGTTTTCGGCTACAATAAAGAGACCAAGCTTTGCATAGGGAAGGGAACCATCTAGAATAGTGGTTGAAATGAAGAACACGGTGCAACTCTCAGACTTAAACTATCTTGCTCGGTCACATAAGCTTGTTGGGGACTTTAATTTACAGACGACCATCCTACAAGACCTGTGACTGTATGATTGTAATGGTGCAGGCAGATACTAACTTAATAATATTCCATGAACATTATTGACTATACATGGTTAACAAAATAAATAAAAAGAATAGATTATCTCAAAATTAAAATTGCATAATGAAAATAAAATAATGATAAGGAATATAGTATAATTTCACTTGTTCTACACTTTGATGAAGAAGGCGCTGGCTCTCTCTCGTCTTCTTTGCTTTTTTTGAAGAATTGGAGTTCATCTAAGTCTAGAGTGGACATCAAGATTTAAGAACTGGAAGTTACTTAACCTCTAAGAGCTAACCTTTCTGTTTCTACAAACCTCAAGCCTCGCCACGTTTTCTTTAACCGACCCTGAGATACATTAGACTTTTAAATAAATGTTATCAATAAACAGTGTGCTTTGCCCATTTAAAAGTATTTTAGAAGAAACTGTTCAAATTAATTTAGTTACTGTGCTTCTGATTAAGTTATTTGAGTTGTATTTTAGTAAGCTATTGTGATTTTGAAACCAAGAGGCCTATCCTATGTTAACATCAAAATTATTAATTAAAGCAACTTTGTATGGCTAAGTAAGCAGTTATTGTTATTAGTTATTACATACCTTCTAAGGCAACACGACATGATAAATAAAAATTATAAATATACTATAGGATAAAATTACTAACATGATATTGGCTTTGTGCACAATTGTTATTTTCTTCCGTCCGGTTTTCCTGGCAAACTCAAATGCAAACCGTGCAACACGTTCGGAATTTTCCTGGGTCACAATCTTCATGCTTTCCACGACACCATTAACACTCTGAAAACCACACAATCTTTACATCACACAGGGAAATCACTATACTTACATTATGTTGGCCTTATGGACAATTGTTATTTTTTTACGGTTATTTCTCCTGGCGTATTCAAACGCGAATCTCGCAACCCTCTCTGAATTTGGCTGTGTAACAATTTTCATGGTTTCTACTACACCACGTGCACTCTGAAATCAAAGCGGTTCACCAACTATGTTAAATTAGCAATGCTGTTGGAAACTCGTTCAAATACTTTATGAGTTACAGGTTGTGAACTTAGGAATCAAGAGTATTCATTATTGAAACAAATATAGGGAGGAGGTTTAAGAGTTGGCAAACCTGGTCTGCTTGTCATGATCATGATAGTGGTGAAGTTTTCTCTTCAGTTATGACACATTTACTCTCAGAATATCATATTGGTGTATAGGTTCTGTTCAGTGTTGCAACATACCGGCCAACTGGAATTAATTTTTCTTAGTTGGGATCTATTTGTAAGTATAAATGTGAGTTGTAAGTGTTCTTCTTCACTAATTTAGACAATGGACTGACAAGGTGAATAGTGTTAGTGACCTGAGAGCATCATATCTGCGCAGACGTCACAGAATTGCTAAACGCCACCACTGTTTGGGGGAACTAACCCTACACTGTGCAACTCCCACCAGTCGTCTTGCTGCCCCAAAGGCCTTTGAAGACTGACATACTACATGCCGGATAGGTGAGCCTCTTGGATTGTGTATTGCTGTTTGAAGGCTCATCCATAATACAAGAACATGAATTTTAAGTTTTGACTGTAAATGTTTGTAACTCAATATTCAATAAATTACACTATAACCTCCGCATTTGTCAATCACCAAAGCACCACCATCTAGTAACATGGCCTGTTAATACCACTATACCGTTACAAGAACCATTAGACTGCATTATTGGAGATAGGAAGCTATTAATATTCAATATGATTTTGTACCCAAGTTAAGGTAACAAATAGCTTTAAAATTATATTTCAATGTCAGTTAAAAACTGCAAAGATTGCCGCCAGAATGCATTGCAGCGAGGTGGGAAGCGATAAAATGGGGGGAAGCTCCCTCAACCGAAACACTTTTAACCAAAATAACAACTAACTGAAATAGACAAGAAATTAAAATACCGTAATATATCATAGCAAAGTTTATACAGATTAGAGAAAGACATGACTGAACAAAGATTGTATCACGGGTTTCAGAAAATTTTGTTGAAATGGAATAAACACATTTTGACATAGTTTTGCCAAGTAAACAAAACAAAAACCATGCAAGTGTTGGTGCCGTATTACCTCGTGTTCCAGCATAGCATACTCTCCCTCTGTGTTTTGTCGCACAATGCAGATGTCAACATTTTTCTGTCTCGCTACAACACCATCGTACGATTTGCAAGTTAGGACGTTGACGTAGAGGTCGAGCTCATTTCTCAGGGCTACGTTACGACTGATGACCCCAGTGTCTAAACTTCCTGTTTCGATGTTGCCTGAAATTTAAACAAGTGTAACTTAAGTTAATTCATAAAAAAGCATTATAGGAAAACATTATGAACTTCTCCCTTTTTTAAAGATGATGATGCAAATAACTCATTATCCCTTTGACACGGTGGATTATACAAGATTTAACTATGCCTATATTTAATATGTTCTTAAAATAAAATAAGCATATTTCAACAGAAAGACAGTAAGAATAGGCAAAAATAAACAAAATGCCAAATTTTATGTGCAATTTAAACATAATTCACTCCTCATCAGCTTCCACGAAAGCCATCAACCCTTTATTTTAGGTGGACCTTTCCACCAAGTTGCCACAGACAGATGAACAGGTGTGACAGACGCAGGATTTGAGTAATCAATCTACAATGCCGTCTCCTGTTCGGAGAAACAAAATCGTAGACCACTCGGCTATTGATCGGAAATAACAGACTGTTGCACTGACAGCTCTGACCAAGCGAGAGCCTAAGATTAGGGGTTTTAAAATTTACTCCTAGGTTACAACACTTGTCAAAAATAGCTCTCAGTAGGTTTTGTTGAGATATCTCATAAGCCTCGTTCACACGGGGCGAGTTTACACGCTACTCGCTGTCATGTAAGAAGCCAGCGAGTTGGCAGTGCGCTTGTAGTCGTTCACACGATGCTTTTTCCACTCGCCAACTCGCAGACGTGTAGAATGACGCCGGCGAGTACGCTTGTAGTCGTTCACACGATGCTTTTTCCACTCGCTCAGTAGCTGGCTTGAACTAAATCCTCCGACATCTTCGAATATCATGCGCACAAGCACAAGCAACTGTGTTCACACTGGGCTACTTTACACGCCTACTCGCTCAAAAGCTGGCGAGTTGGCGTGTAAAGTAGCGGCAGCGTCAACTTTTTCCAGAGCTTTTTTACAAACAGCTTTTGAGCGAGTACTTCGTTCACACTGAGCTATTTTACTAGCTGCGTGTAAAAAATCCGGCTTGTAGCTTGTAACACGTTCACACGGGGCTATATAAACGGTAAAGTGGAATTTGGTCTTTGTTAGTCTTTGAGTCTGATATATCAGACATTGAAGTTCAAAAGGATAAGTTTGTTATGGTAGAATAAGAAGGAGGTAAAGTAGGAGGTAACTTTTTAAAGGTACATAAACACAGTGATTAACTACTGTCGCTAAAAAGTGGTGCTGTAAAATAAAAAAAATTAGTAAATATTGTTTTAAATTTTTAGAATCATATACATAATTTTAAACATAAAAATAAATACAAATAATATTTCTTTATCAATCAAAATATGAATTTGAGCATTTGGGATGTTTTTAAACTTGTCCATATCAAAGCCTACACCTTTTTCAAAGGTAAACCAGCCGCCTCATTGATAATTTTCTATCAAATAAAAGGAATAACAAAAAATTATGTCCATCCAACCTTTAATAGCAACTCCATTCCTTTTGATGGAAGTGATTGCATACTCCAAGTCTTCATTGCTGTCGCTTTTAGGATCAATCTGAACTAGCTCAAAGTCAACGGGAACTCCACCCGATCTATAACCAAAACATTTTTAACAGGTTAATACAGCAGCAACAATATCCTTTATGAAATTAATTTCAAAGATTAATCAAAAACCTTAATATGAATTACAGTTTTTCACATCACAGAAATAAAATCTTATAACTTCATGATTGAGTTGTTTTTATGGATCACATTAGACATGACTTAACCACTTTGTTAAGACAATGAAGTACTCTGTGCATGTAATAATGCTGAGTATAAATGCAGAGCGAGAGTAAAATGGAGTGGATAATCTTAGTAGCTTTTACTCATTGAATCAACTGTTTCTTTAGCCGGAATAATTGATTAAATTCCAATAATGAAGAGCAGCTGGCTCCAGTTGACTTTCTTCAATATCAAACCGGTGACCTTCAGATCAAAAACATATCAGATGTGTTGTAGAACACCTAGCTAGGTCAAAGGTTATAGTTCCTAAAGTAGGGTGCATAAATTATCATAGAATTTACAAACAATCTGTATTGAGCTAACTTGAACTATCGACCGCAACGCAACCTCAAGTGTCCGGTGTATATAAAACATCCCGGTGACTGATGGGCATTAATTCCCTGATTCGATCTCGACTACTGCTCTGCACTCACTCCTGACGACCCCCCTGGGCAAGATGTCCCTCCGGTTGCTTCCAGGTATGTCTGGTTAGGTGTCTGGCTCGTCCTAACAAATCTTGCTCCCATATAGTAATTATTCTAAATTAATGTAAAGTTGAGTCCTGGTATTTTAGTTCATTTTTTATTAAGTTTGTGTGTTTGTACTACATAATATTTGGGGTGTAATAAAGGTCATTTGTTTGTCACCTGAGAGTTTAATTCACCCTGGCTCGCCAACCTTGACAGTTGGTGTCAGGTGTAAATTTTGTTTCTTTTTTTGTAGGAGGGCTTGTTAAGGGGACAGATTAGGAGTAACAATTTATTTTGTAAACCCTAAGCCAAATCTTTTTTTTATTTTTTATTGCTTGTTCAAATGTCAGAAGAAATTACCTTGCTCAAAGATAAGTTGTTTTTTGATAATTTTGAATTGGTTGCTAATAGTAACAAAATTGTAGTGTTAGTTACATTCCACTACCGATTGGGACATACGTGTATTAGGTGTGAGCAGCTAGATGTGTTCGATCATTTTGACTTTGTAGAGGAGCGAATAGTAGAAGGGGTTCACTCGTTCGCCAGGTGTTGGAAGTATTGTAGGAGGTGGTTTTACGACGACAGAATTCGGTACTCTCTTCTCTCAGTGGGGATTAGGAATTGAATGCGTTGGGATTTGTGGCTATACTTTTAGTTGGGGAGATATGAGTCAAAGTTGTAATTGTGCTTAAGTGTGTTTAAGGCTCCACCATTGAATATTTAAAGGAAAATTAAGGGTTGGGAGTGAAATTTTCTTTTTACTTATAATGTAATTTTAATTCAGAAGGAAAGATAATGTATTAATAAATGGGTGGTAGGTGGTAATCGGGAAGTTCAACTTTGGTATCATAGCCATTCGAGGGAGCGTAGGAGACAACTATTAAATGCTATTGTTGACCAAGTAATTAAAATTGAACGGACTATCACCAACACGGACTATGGCTTTGGTAAGGCCATGTTGATCCAATTATTGCAATGCAAGTAACCCTAGGTAAAATTAACTAAAAGTGCTGGTAATCTGTCGGTTGATGTTGGCGGAAAACAGTGAAGTGAACCTGGCTTGTTTGCTGGAAATAGGCATCGATGATATAGAGTTTGCTATTTTGCTATTTATCGTACATGTATGCATTATTATTTTAGTAGCTGCTCATAGTTAATTAATTAAGCTGGGAAATAATGGAGGTAAATTTAAAGAGCCTTGTATGGAGCAGGCGTCATCATCCAGATCGTTTGGTACTGCTCCAGGAGAGTTAAGTTTGACAAAATCAAGAAATAAATTCGAAACGTCTTTTTTTACCCGAGTTGGGTCAAGATCTGCCGTTATCACAGCCTTTTACAATCACGAATAGCCTCAGTCTAGTACTGGTTCCAGTTAAAGTCAATTTAATATTAGAAGTTTGCCGGAACCGACACAACGCGCTCCACCTATTCCAAAAATTAATACACCGACAAAATCGGAAGAAGACCAAACATACGTACCAATGTACGAAGTCCCAAAGCCTAATGTCCGTTTCTAAGAAACCGGAATATTATATACCAGTGATCAATCCCGATTTGTTAATTGAGGGTTGTCAAAATTTGTTACGTGCATTAGTCACAAAAATTATTGAGGGTAGAATAAATAATCGTACCAACTATACATCCGAAGCAGGTATCAAGAGAGTTTAAGTGACGAAAATTGTGATAGAATATTTGAACTAAATGTAATTAAGTGATGGTTAAATATTTTGTATTTGATTTCACTTATATTTTGTCTTAATAGCATATTGTAATTGATGAAACTAAATTAATTTATTGTTGAATTTTGCTTTAATACTTATCATATTTTGATATTAGGCTAACCAAATGTGGTCTTTATTGAAGGGAATTGTCATTGGATTAGTGATAGGATTGAGCGCCGCTATTATTTGTTTCCTAGTGTTAACTCTTATCGCAGACCACAATTCAGTCGCGTGTGTGCGTCACTTTGTAGTAAATAGCACGCGACGCCTTATCAATTAGTGAATGATAAAATCTACAGGAGATAGAAGGTCCCCTCAGAAAATTTATAAATCTACATTAACCTATCTAAACATGCCGGGAGACAGGGCTCAATTGGAGCAGGCCGAAAAATTGCGACTTGAAAAATTGCACAACATGGTGGCTTGTATGATAGAAACGTTTTGCTTAGACGGGACTGGACCATCCATTAAAGAATTTCTGGGTCAATTAGACCAAGCTGCCAAATTGGGGGGATGGAAACAGCAATTTAAGGTTGCAATTATAAGATTAAAAACACGGGGACCTGCTGAGACATTTTTAGCTTCAAAATTTGATTTTAGCAAATTAAGAGTTGATGGTTTGCCTGAAGCAAAGGAGGATGAGGTGTATAAAGCTTTGTTAGAATAATTCACTAGTAAGAGAACTGATCATTTTAATTACATGCAATTGCAGAGTGCGTCACAAAAACGTGGCGAGGGGTTAGAACAGTTTGCCGAGAGGGTTAGACACTTAGGGGTTCTTACAGTGCGGAAAGTAGACGACAGCGGTGAACAACGGGTTATTAACTCAGAAGCTGAGCAACGTATGTTAGCAGCATTTTTAAATGGCCTAAAGGACAATACCTCATTTTGAAAAATCACTGTTGCATTTAACTGATTGATTTCTTGTTGCAATTTGTTAGACAACTGCGCATACTGTTTTACTTTAATTTCTATGGTATCCGCAATTACTTGTTGGTTCAATTTTACCCTATCACTCAATGATTTTACGTAACTATGCTGCTCATTGTTAAAATGAATTACACTTTCTTGTAGATGAGCCAATTTCCCAATTTTAGAATCTAAAGTTATTACATCCTCTGTATCAGCAGTACCAAATACGTACTTCTTACCTGTCCCCACCGAATCGAATATTGCTCTTTTTGTTTGCATCAATTCTGTATGATTCCCATTACTGTCAATCAATAACAGCAACTCGTCTACTACTGACCTAAGGTGAATCACTCCGGACTTAACCCTATCAATCTCGTCTCCAGGCACAGGTAGGCCAAATTTAGTTACATTATCAGAAAAGCTAAATACAATACTGGCCAAATTCTCGACTAAATCATCATAATGCTGAAAATTCAAAGAGCTACATACTCGCCATGACTCTCCCGTTACTGTAATTTCCCTTTCTTTCAAAAATATAACCCCTGAAGGTGGCAATTTACAATTTCTTTTCCCACAGTCAAGCCCTAAACCACTGACGGTCGCCAAACAGCATAATCCTGTAACAAAATTCCGCTTTGTTACTTCCGTAAATGCCAAGACACGCCTCTAAAGACTCGTATTATAATTTTATATCACCCACACCATAACTTAAACCAATTAACGTACCTAACTACTTATCACCATTCGTAGAATCATCTGCCTGTGAAACACGCGCTCGACGCCTAGTATTATAACCATGCGTCTGTGGAAGGTCGTTATGACTTTGCACTGCCAACCTGTCAACATTAGGCGGAGGAACCCAGTCCTCATCCCCTATTGGATCGTCAATATATGTTAAATTTCCGAGACTTCTATCACCTACCACTGGAGGACTTCCCTCATGACCAGACTGGTCCGATTCCCTATCAGATTCCCTAATTGTGCTAGGACTTCCTATGTCCCCATTACTGGACATTTTTGACGGACTCGATTCCTTACTCGCATCACTAAGGTCATTCGAGGTGGCAGTCCCACCTCCGGCCACGCCCTGTGGCTGGTCACCACTACATCCGTCCACACCCTGGCCTACTTCCGGATCTTCGCACAAAATTAGTCGCGACCTTGGGGTTAACCATGGGTCCGGTAATTGTGCGGGTAACTCTCCGCCACGCTCTTCCGATAGTTCCTCGTTATCACTCTCCTCATCCTCGCCGGAAGTCTTATCATCGGCCGCGCCTCTTAATAATTCCAATACTTTAGCGTGTTCCAATGAAATCCCATCTCTCAACTCCTCCCTTGCCAATTTTAGCCTATTACAATGTAAATTAGCAATCCTATTTCCCAAATCAATACCGAAAACCAAATCCGAAATTTTGGACTTAATCAAATGTGGACCTGACCAGAATTGGCGAAATTTACTACCCGGAGCATTCGTAATTTCCGGATGATGAACATAAACTAAATCCCCCACTTTAAAGTTAACCAATTTAGTACCCTTATCATAATAGACTTTACTTTGTTGTTTAGCCACTTCCGTACTTTCCTGTGCCACTCTTAAGGCTTCATTTAACCTTTCAACCAGGTTTTCACACGGTTTCCTTCCCGCAATACAACTATAATCATCAGGGGAAGGTATGTTCATCTCCCTGCCGTGAAATAAATAGAATGGTGTTAATCCAGTGGCCA